ACCATGGCCTGTTGGTGAGGTCTTTACCTGGCTCGTGTTATGACCACCCCCAGCTCCCAGATTCCTTTTCCTGAGGGACAACAGCAAGAGCTGGGTGAGGCTGGGCAGAGCCACCAAATTCCTGTGCATTCAGGACACCAATATTGTTTTGTTCTACTGCATTTTTCCTCCAGACAGTGCCTGCTGTCAGCACTACTTGCTTTAATCAAAAAATAAATAAATTTCAGCATGGCTCATTATGCTAAACGAAAACAACAGGGGGCTAATGAGCATTGTGAACAAGGCATTAACATGGCAATCAGAGGTATCCTCAAGACAGCTGCATCTTTCTTCCAATACTCTAGATACACAAATGTGACCTCATCCGTTTAATTTAATTCAGGGAATAAACAGATTTAGATGTCTAACTTTAGTTTACTTTTGTAGCATTGTGTTACACTTACTATTAAGAAACAAAACTGCCAGCTCGGTTTGTGCAACTGTTCGGAGGTCATTCTTACTCTTCAGTAAACAATACTGTGTTAACACATTTAATATTCATAATTTTGGGGTAGAAGTTAAAGTGTTACTCCCCCAATAAGTGTTGTGGGAGGCTTGTGCCAATGTCAGTAGAGGAAAGGTGGCTGTGGCCCTGCTCTGGCAATGGCAGTTCTGAACACACCCAGACAGGCTGTCCAGGAATTATGCGGGTTCCCCAATGCTGAAATAACACGCAGAGGCCAAAACCTTCCGAATCCCTTTTCCAAATTTATTTCTTTTTTACCTCTCCTCCTTGAAAGTCTAAAAAATCTGAAACAGCCTTGGCTACCCCTTTAAACGCTGCCGGACATTGGGCTCGTTAGAGGGGCCATCATCCCTGCTGGCGTGGCACCAGCAAACTCCACAGGGCAGCGGCACGGCCCTCGCCGAAACGGGCGGGGAAAAACCGTGAAGAGAAGCCACGGGAGGGGACAGGGAGGGCCGGGTCCGTGAGGGAAGGAGGAGTTCCCGCCCTTTCTGTCCCTCCCCTCAGCCCGGCCGCCATTTCGGGAGCGCTGCCTGGGCGCGCGGCGCCCCCTGGCGGCCCCTCGGCCGGCCCGGCGGCCATGAAGTCCGTGTTCGTCACGGTGGGCACCACCAGCTTCGACGAGCTGATCGCCACGGCCCGCTCCCCGCCCGCGCTGCAGGTCAGCCGGCCGAGACCCCGGCACCGGTACCGGCACCCGCAGCGCCTCCGGGCCGGGCCTGCCCTCCCGGCACTGGCGCCTGCGCGCCGGAGCTGCCCCGCCCTCCCTGTGGCGGTGGTGCCCGGTGTCTCTGAAGGGGCCGCAGCGGCTCGGGGGTTCCGGCGGGGAGAAGCGTGAAGGGTGGAAGGAGGGGAGGGACGGGCTGTGTGGGAAGGGGAGGGGACAGCGGTACCCGGGCCGGGGTGGTCGGGAGCTGGGCACACCCCTCACACACCCTCTCTGTGTCCGCCTCATCCCCTTCATTACACCTCCTCCATGCCCCTTCCCCACCGCCCTTATCCCCTCCGTTCATCCCTCCCGTGGCCCACAGGCGCTGCAGAGCCGCGGGTACCAGAAGCTGGTGCTGCAGGTGGGCCGGGGCTCGCTGCCCCAGCCGCAGCCCAGCAGCAGCTCGGCCGTGGCGGTGGAAGTGTTCCGCTTCAAGGACTCGCTGGCTGCGGAGCTGCAGAGCGCTGACCTGGTCATCAGCCACGCAGGTACAGCCCCGGCTGCTTCCTGCGGCTGCCATGAAGGAAGGCTCGCCCGCTCAGGGGTGGGCTGGCTGGGAATGCTGAGATCCGCAGCTAGAGTTGGGTTGTTCAAGAGGCTCCCCTGTTCCAGCAGCAAGTAGGGGGATATTTCATAGATTTCATCTCTCACCGTGTTTTCTGTTTCCCTCGTAGGTGCTGGTAGCTGCCTGGAGACTCTAGAGAAAGGAAAACCACTAATAGTAGTAATAAATGACAAGCTGATGGACAACCATCAGCTGGAGCTGGCCAAACAGCTCCACAGAGATGGCTATGTCCTCTACTGTAACTGCAGGTATGGAGCTGCTGTGGCTGTTCCTGCTGGACAGGAACATTCCGTCCATGTGACTGCAGAACTGAGACTGTAACAAGAAAATAGACATCCTTCTCTGTAATCTCTATCTGGATATTAGATTTTCCAGAATGAATAGACTAACACTAGGTAGTAATTTACCACACTCACCAAACCTTTTCACCATGGCCTCTTCTAATTATTTTTTTCCATTTGAGGGTACATGTATTTAGATTAAGAGAAGAAAAGCACTTGGATTCAGGGGGATTCATAAATCAGATATACTATCTGGTTAGTAACTTTAAGTACCCCTGTCTTCCAAGTACTTACTCAGGCTGCCCTCTTAACTGAATTTTCTGAATCCACTATACCCTCTGACAAGGAATTTCACAGATCTACTGCCTGTCGTTTCAGGAGAAAAACCCAAACCAAACAAACAAAAACACACCAAAAAAACCCACCCCACAAGCAAACACGTGAAAAAATCCCACCATCACCAAAACCCCTAGCTCCTTTTTTTTAGAGTTCATCCTAACTCCTGTTGGGTTTATTCTCCTGGTTTTGACTGTATTTTACTGTTTTCTCTTTACTTGTGATTGACTCCACTCTAAAAATAACAGATTACTTTTAAACTGAAGGCAGAAAAAATTTAACTCCCATTACTTAGTCTGCATCTTGTTCCTTTGCCCTGTAAGCAGAATGTTATGTTCTGAAAAAGCTTTCTGAACAGACCAGGCCTGGCATTCTGAACAAACCAGGCCTGGTTTATATTGAGCAAGTTTCTTAAACTCATTATCTTGGTGCTTCTGTCAGCTTTGGAATTTTTATTTCTTTGTGTTGGGCAGTGCCAAGTATTTTATTTGCAGGCTGATGATAGCAAGTAACAGATTGGCATAGCTATTCTTTTTGGCTCTGTGATCAGGGGAAAACTCTGCCCTATGTTCAAATAGGATGGATTTCCTCCTATGGTTTATGGAGAAGAGCCTCAGATCTTGTTCAGTCTCCCAGCATTGCAACCACGGAAGATTAAAAAGTTTAAAGGTTGTTTGTCTCTGAAAGCTGATGGAAATGTGTTCTGAGCAGTACTGCCTATGAGCCGGTGCTGGCTGGGGCCTGCTGCTCTGTGCATTCTCTTCCTTTGCATACATATCCTTATTTAATATTTCCATGCTAAAGAATTGTGTATGGATGAATAGAAAGAAAATGGTATTAAAAAATTCCCTGTGGGATGGATCTTTCTTCTTTAATTTTTGCTTTTTGTTTCTACAGCACTCTTGTGGAGACACTGCAGTCGATGGACTTGTCAGCTTTGAAACCTTTTCCTCCTGGACAGCCAGAAAAGTTTGCTTCCTTCTTGGATAAAGTTTTTGGGATACAATAAACAAAACAGAGAAATAAAAAAATTGGGATAAAATGTCTCATCTCCTACACTTAAGATCTGCCAACTAGGCCTCACACGCAAAGAAAATATCATTTAATATTAACTGATATTAAATTACTTCCAATTTAGTGCCAAACTCATTCAGCTTCACACTTTAAAAAGTACAATGCCAATAAGGAAGGAGTGTGAGCTGTCTGGTTGCATGGACTGACATATTTATATCACAAAAGCTGCACTGGGATGGTAATTCCAGTGATGAGACAAACTAAACTACTTGTTTACAGGCATGGCATATGCATAGTGGTCTCTTGACCATTTTTGACAAGTACAGGTGGAAATATATGGGCTTTGTTGATGTTCTGCAGATGCCTTCAGCTGTTTCATGTGCTTACAGAAACATTGAAAAGACAGCTTGAAAGGGAGAGCCTCAAAAGTCACGAGCTGCAAACCTGCTGCCAAACTGCTGCCCTGGGTTTGGGTGATTTACCCACAAAGTGAAACAGGACAAGAATGGGTTGGCAATACAATAGCTCCTTTTGTGTGGTGTTAGCACATCATAATCCATCAGTTTGGACATCTGCACGCCCACTGTTTCTTATTTAGATTATATGTAAGGAAGAAATTCTGCCCTGTGAGGGTGGAGAGGCCCTGGCACATCGTGCCCAGAGAAGCCGTGGCTGTCCCTGGATCCCTGGGAGTGTCCCAGGCCAGGCTGGATGGGGCTTGGAGCAGCCTGGGATAGTGGAACGTGTCCCTGCCCATGGCAGGGGGGTTGACACCTGATGAACTTTAAAGTCCCTCCCAGCCCGAGCCATTCTGGGATTCTTTGCTGCTGATCAGCGCTTCCCATTTAAGGTATTGAAATTAAAAACCAAAGAGAGCTTAAACTTTAAAATATAAGTGCATGTCCTTAGGCTTCTAATGCTCTAGAACTTTAGAATTGCATAATGAGTTCTAGCTGCCCTTCCTACAAGGACATTATTCGTTTGGGGAGGGGAGTGGGTTGCTTTTGTTGTTTAAAACACGAAAATGAAACTCCTGAAGTGGCCCATCTGATGTCTAAGTACGATTTTTATGAGGAAATTAAATCTACATAGAGGCATTCAAATCAAGCACAAAGGTGAACTAAATCAGGCCGCACAGTTGTGCAAGGGTTAATTTTGCCAATCCCCCAAAGTTTGCCCCAAACACTTGATTAGGGGCAATTAAGATTTTTCGCTTCCTTAACGATTTCTATGGAGTTATTTCATATCCACGGCTAGCAACTCGCCTCCAGCCTCGGAGGGGATTTTGGATTGATGTTCCCGCTGGTTCTCTGCAGTCCGGCGATGAAATTAAACGGGCGAGTTTAGCCAAGGCAGGTCAGGGAGGAGCCGCTTCCCGCACCTTGGGATGCGCACCCACGCCGGGAGCCGGGCACCCTAAAAATTGGCTTCAAACATCCTAAAATGGCTCCGGCCGGCATCCGAGGGGTCGGGTCGGGGCCGGGTCATCCCATCCCATCCCATCCCATCCCATCCCATCCCGCAGGTGGGCGCGGTGCCTCATTAGCGGCGCCTCATTAGCGGCGGCCGCGCGCGCAGCGCCTCGCGCCTCGCCCGCGTCTCCGCGCCCGCCTCAGCCGCCCCCGGCCGGGAAGATGCACAAAGGCTCCAAGAAGTACTTCGGGCAGAAGTCCTTCAGCGAGGTGGCCATGGACGATTACCTGGGCAGCCTGGGGCTGTACCGTAAGATGACGGCCAAGGACGCCTCGTGCCTCTTCCGAGCCGTCTCGGAGCAGGTGCGCAGCCGGCCGGGCTGGGGGTAGCCTCAGGCCCGGAGCGGGCTGCGGCTGGGCCGGGGGTGCTCCTGGAGACCCGGCCGGGTGCCCAGAGCGAGGGGGCGGCAGCGGGCACGGCTGGGGATGTGCGTGGGGATACGTGGGAATGTATTTGGGGACGGGTTGGAATGTACGTGGGGATACGTGGGAATGTATTTGGGATGGCTTGGAATGTACGTGGGGATGGGTGCGAACGGCTCCAGGCGCCCCTCAGCCTGAGGTGCCCCCCAGCCTTTGCACTGCCTCCTGTCATGGTGGCGTTAGTCTGGAGACTTTATGCCTAATAAGTTAAACTCTTGACGTTTTCTCCTTTATTACCGTTATTTCTCCAGCTGTTCTCATCTCAAATCCATCATGCGGAAGTTAGGAAAGCTTGCGTCTCGTTTATGAGGCAGCACCAGTCTAGGTTTGAATCCGTAAGTTCGGTGTGTGCTGTGTATGAGCTGGGTACGCGTGCTTGGGAAGTGCTGTGGGAGGGGATCATGGTGACAACACGATGGTTTGTCGTGCTTGACAGACAGGAGCAGTGATAGCGTGCCTGCTTCCTTATGTTGAGTTGCAGTTGCACAAGTTTTATTTAACTTTGTTTCTGAAGTTCCTGAAAACAAGGAAGCTACTCAAAACCTAGGTAGTGAGTAGGGCGAGTTATTTGTGTAGTGTATTCTCTATGGAGCGACCATTGCAGAATTTAGTAGGTGGGAAACGTGTTGGATTTTGGAGCAAGAAATTAATATTGAAAGATGGTGGGAAATTCTTAATTGCATTAAGTCATGGAGTTTTGAGATGTGGTTTTTGGTTGGTTTTGTCTGTGCAGTGTGGATTTGTAGGCTATTGATATGATGTTGGGGTTTCTCTTTGTTCTCCCTGTAATCATACCTAAGTGATTAATCTAATCTAGGAAGGACTTGAATATTACTTAGACTCATATCCTTAATTTTTTTTTTTTTTTTTAAGAATCTCTTGCTATTCTCACATTGATACCCCAAATTATTTCTATGTTCTACATGCCTTGCCCCCTCCAAATCAACAGCTGGTAGCTGCTAAATAGTGTTTAGGTTGAATTTTAATTTTGCTTTCTAACTGCCTAAGTTTTTATATTTCTTTTCTTCTTTGTTTTGTTAAAAGTATGTGGAAGGCTCGTTTGAAAAATACCTAGAACGACTAGGAGATCCAAAGGTAAGCCTGATCTAAGACTTGCTAAGAGATTTAAATTTGAAGAGGCTAGAACAGGAAGGGGTTTAGGTGGTTATTTAAAATGTGGTTATTTGAGTTTGTGGGGCTTTTTTTAGATAGATTTTTCAATCTTGGGGGATCAGTTGCATAAGTAATACTCGAGGTTTGTACTGAATAAATGTGAGTAAAATGTACATGTATAAACAATACCTGTTTTAGTGGGGAATTTGCATGGGTGCAAAGGAGCAATCTCGGCAGGCTGGACAGTAAAAGCTTATTAATAATTGTAGTTCTTTTAAGAAAAAGAAAGCAAAATATGTGGAGTGTACCTTAAATGAAATATCTGTCAGGCTTTACAATCTTCTTTTTCCTTTACCATTCAGGCTTCTATTTCTTTATTCTTTAACCAGTAACCTTGGTGAATGCAGCAGTTTAAGAAATAAATGGGGTTTTAAAAAAAGTATCTAAAGTGATGTGTTGGAGCAGCTCTGGCAGCAATTCAGTGTGGCCACCCTATGTAGCAGACTCCTTTTACCTCACTCTCACCCAGTCCTTATATCTCAGCTCTCAGTGCATTATTGCTATAACAGACTGATGAGTTTGAGTAGGTATTTTAATACTACAGAATTGTAGAATATAGTTGTTGATGTTTAGATGCCTCTGCTATCTCATGTAATCTCATAATCTTGCATAGGAAAGTGCTGGCCAGCTGGAAATAAGTGCTTTATCAATGATGTACAAGTAAGTGCCTTTTTCTTAAGGTTTACTTTGTTTTGCATTTGGTTTGGGAGTTCTGGCCCCAGAGCTTTGTGTGTTTGCCACTGAGAGGTGAGTGTGTGAAACACGATGAGAAATGCTTCCCTAAAAAACTTAACTGACATGTAAATGGTGTTATCACAGCCCCTGTTCTAATGGGGATTAAGGGCAGGGTCAGTTTCCAGAGATGCTTTTTTGTTATCTTTTTGCTCATATTAGATTCCAATGCCAAGTATTTGCTTCTAGTGGCTGAAGCATGGAAAATGGGGGAAACCAAGGAGCTGTGTGCAATGGAAACACTGTGTGGCAGTCACAAACGTGACTAAAACTCATGTAGGTGCTCTTGAAAGCTCCAGAAGTGAGGAGTATCTGCCCTACCTGATGTGTAAACACTGCTCTTTATTTCAGAGGTGTCACAGAACTGTGCGGGTGCTGCTGTTTGTAAAAAGCAGTCTGGCTCTCTAGTAATAGAAAATAGAAGCCTCATTTTATGCCAGTACTAAAGGAACAACTGAAGTTTGGCAAGAATTACTTGCTCCCTGCACTGAGGTTCTAGACCTTTTGCAGGGTGCCTAAATCACTTAGACTGAATTGTCTCAGTGTCTGAGCACCCTTCTGTAAGCATAAGTAATTGACTTAATCTGTGATTAAATATCATAGTCTTTCACAGATAATTTTTGTTTTCCCCTTAAGATAGGTTTGCTCATCTTGCTTTATGGTAGCATTCATTTATCAGGAAAAGTGCTTTGCTTGATTCTACTGTAAACCAACAGCTCTAAACTGCTCCCTGGAAACTTCTTCATAACCTGATTCTACTGAAAGTGTTCTCTTGCAAGTTTTGCTTTCCCTCTGCTTACCTAGGCGAGACTTTATTGTGTACCGGTACCCCGGGAAGCCTCCCACACGTGCTACAGACAATGGCTTTGAAGACAAGGTCAGTAGAAGGCAGGACAGTTTCCTTCTGTTCCCCTGCCAGTCTGTTTTCTTACTTTTCCTGAAGCTGGATGAGTTGTGCAGTTTTTTTCCCTGAAGAGGCAAAGTTACTGGGAAGGGATGACTGTAACAAACTGATTTTTGTGACCTACAAAGTGGTCCCAGTTCAGAATGGGAGCTATTGGAACAGATTATCTACATCAGAACTGCTGCTGGGGACAAAAGGGAGGAGCAAAAAGGACAAATACTCTGTATTAGCTTGCATCTGCCCCCTCTGGTGCTTTCTGGAGCTGTGGAGATGTGGGTGCACAGTTATGTGGCTACTTCAGGCATGATGCCCGTGAAGCTGCTGCAGGCTGGATTTCAGTGTGGGCTGCCAGATTTGCCAAGGTGGCCAGTCTGCTCTGAACCTGTGCTGCTGCAGCTGTTACTGATCTGTTGATGAGCATTGCTGTCTTCATTTACATTTGCTTCTTTCTTCATCTACACAGTTTCCTGTGTAGCTTAATTTAATTCCAAAATGAGCTGAGTTTAAAAATCAAACAGCATGGTCTAAATGCGTGTTTGCCCTGCAAGGCTTTCCCACCAGAGCTCTCATTAAGTGTTGCAAGCTGTCTGTCATTACACTGTGAGTTCAGGCAGCAGCTCCTTCTGGTGTTGCTCCTCCTCACCACGAGAGGAGAGCTTGTGTTGGCAGAATCCACAGAGCACACAGAATTAAGAGTCCTGGCAACTCTGCTCCCTCTGGGAGCTGGTTTTCTGGGAAGCATCTTTGCTGGCAGTGTGCTGACAGCTGCCTCAGGGCTTCTGCCTGTTGTGGTTGTGTGCCAAGAAGTTTGGTGGGGTGCATGGTGTGTCAATGCATGTGTTGCTGAAAGCATCTCTTCTGCTTCATAAAAGCAAGGTTTTAAGGGCTAGAGAAGTAAATGTTCTTCTAGTCTTTCAGGCAGAGAAGGATGAAATGACACTTGGGACCGTGTGTCTTATGGTGCTGCATTCAATGGGTTGTATTTATTTTACCTACTGAGCTAATGGTGGTCTTGGAAACAAACTTCTATTTCATGCTCAATACAGCAGGAAGTACTGATTATTTTTTTTTTTTTGTACAATATCAAATTACTTAGACTTCATATAGTTTTCAGTTTTGAACTGATGCTACAGCTTTGTCATGATTATATTTAGAATATTTACTCTTTTCTTGATGAGTTGATTCCACTGTAGAATGAAAGAATATCAGAATTTGGGGTTATGTCATTCCAGCCTTAAAACCTTCTTTTTTTTTTTTCCATTTTCCCAGATTTTACTGTGTTGTTCCGGTAATGGCCATTATGACTCTGTGTATACAAAACAGTTTCAGGAAAATGCTGCCATTTGCCAGGGTAAACGTGAAATCATTTTTCTATGGAAGAGAATTGTGTGTTTTCATGTTTTTAAAGGCAGGGTTTGTTTCAGTTTTCAGGGGTGGGGAGAAGAGAGATGGAAGCTCACTTATGGTATATTTTTATGCATAGACTTTTTTTTTTACCTGTTTAGTGGGTGTTGGACCAAATGTCTTCCAGAGGTCCCTTATTCCCAGCTGAGTGATTCTATGATCCTGTCCTTAAACTGCATTTGATGTCACTACTGCCTTGTAACAGTAGATAATATCTGAAGATCTGCCTGCCTTGAAAACTGCAGGAGTTCTTCTGGATCTCATATTATCGAGCTTTGTGTTGGTTTGTTCAGCTGTATTATATGAGATCCTCTACAAAGATGTGTTTGGCATGGATGAGGAAGAATTAAGGTCTGCAGTTGAGGTGTTTCGAAGTGGATCCAAGAAGAACAGAAACAGTGCTCCTGTAGGAAGTGAGGATGCAAACTTTGGTTGTCTCCATGAAAAAGTGCCCAGAAATCCATCAGAAAAGAGGTAGTATGCTGGGAAGGGGATCTGGTAAGAAGGAAGCAAAAAAAAAAAAAAAAACCACCATGAAAACCTTGCAGAGGACAAGTTTCTATGAATTTTTCTGGAATATTAACTATTTTCCTATGTTATGACACAAACACAAAGCTCAAGTGTATTGTGGAACAGTGTGCTTTCCTTGGAGCTGGGAAGTGCCACATAATTGAATATCTTCTGCTGCAGGCTGTAATATAGTTGTGTGTTACTCTGTCAAATGACAGCTTATTTGTAAGTAAAATTGCTCCTTATTCATTAGAGCTTTTTTATTATTTTTTAATGACTTACTACTCTTCTAAGCCTCCATAGCTCTGAAAGGCTTGAGAGCAGCCTCTGAATGCTTGCAGACAGCATTGGTTTGATGGTACCTGGCACAGGGTTATACTTGACAATACAAGAATTGAAGCAGTGGGATCACCTGCATCCTTTCCTAATGCCACCAGTAGCTCTCATTAGGGGTGGGTTTTGGAACAAGCAAAGGTCAAGTTCTTAAAGCTTGGGAAAGGCTTGTCCTGCACTGCTTTGCACCTTGCTGGTGTTTAAGGCAAAATGTGCCACTTGATGGCACCATGGTGCTTTTTCAGGTTGTATGAAGAGTTAGTGATGTTAATCCTGGCTAGAAATTGTGTGTTGCAGTTTTTGTAATCTTATTTTCAATTTTTTAGGCTGGATGAGTGGGAAGGCAATGATACTGACAATCCACAGGAAACCAAGTTCAAACAAGGCATTGAAGAACAAAAGGTTTTGCAATTTGGGGAAAAGTCCTTATGCTTCTTTGCTTTTTGTTTTTTGGGGTTTTTTTCTGTTGTATGATGTTACCCTTGTTAGGGCTAAATCCTCTTTACCACTTTCTAAAAATGTGTTTTTGGCAAGTGGGTGGCTTATTTCTTCCATCTACTTGTCTTTTGATTTTGCCCTGGAGTTTCTCTTAAATTGGAAGTGCTCTTTTCCTTTCTGAATTCTCTAGTTCTTCTCTAGCTGACTTTTATTTCCCTCAAAAAATGGAGCTTAGCAGATGTTTCCTGATTTGCTGATTGTTTTTTTTTTCCCAGAATGTGGTTTAAATTAGTTCACCTTTGTCTTGACTGTAATATAAATTGCTTCAGAATACTTTTAGAAACTCTACAGAAGTAGAGTTTTCAGCTACAATAACTGAAATTCTCACCAGCTCTTCAAGCTGTGGCTTCATTGGTCTGGTTGGCTTCCTTTGATTCTTTTTGAGTACAGAACATGCCAAGTGTTACTCTTGAGCCTGTTCTGCTTTCCAGAGTCAGTTTGCTCAGCACCTGAGTGCCTGGATCTCTTTTCATAATCTTGAGTCTTAGTTTTTAGGGAAATACAGTGGAAGTGAAAATTTTGGAAAAGAGTATCTGTACTTTTTTAAATGGTGCACAGATGCTGGCAGGATAGAGACTGTGCTGAACACATGAAATGCACTTGTTAATGTTCCATTCCAATTCTGCTTTTAGCCTCCTGAAAATCCTCCAAAGATGCCTGTTCCTTATAAAGTGCTGAAGGCACTGGACTCTACTATCTATCGAAATGTGGAGTTTGATGTTTGGCTGGACAGCAGAAAAGGTATCTTTGGAAAAGGGAAAGCTAAAAAACTCTTCCTTTAGTAGGCTTAGCATTAAATTTATGAATCTGAGTCTTGTCACCTGTTTCTTCACAAGTGAAATATGAAGGACACAGGTGAACCCAGCAGATAGCTGTAGGCAGGACATGTTCTTGGTTTCCTGTCTGGCATTCAAAGTACAAAATACCCAGCTTCTGATACTGTATAATGGTACAAGGTAGCTAAAAATCTGATCTCTGCTACTTATTGACTGTACACAGGAAATAGGAGGATTCAAAGCAGAGCAAAGAACTCTGTTGCCATTCTGTTGTATTGGAAAGCATTCAAATGTGAGAATTTTTTGTTACAGCATGTGTGCAGAGACTTCTTTTTAGAGCACGATTTTGGCCTCAGAATTGTATAATAATGAAGATCTCAAATTTAGCATTGAGATCTGTCAGATGAGTTTTTCTCCTGCCTCCCAGCCCTCCTGGGCTTGAACATTCTGTAGAGATTTTATGGTTCTTGTGGCTTGGGAAAGGTTGGCTGCTTTTTGGCATTCACTGTGGCTGATCTGTAAAGCAAGAAGTTACCAAGAAAGATAAGTTTTTAAGTGATACTTGATGTCTGACCCAAAGTGCTTTGCATGCTGAAGAACTTCAGCATTTCACCACAGTGTAATCAGTAATGAAGATCATTAAAATTCTTGGAACAGAGTGTGGTAACCAATTATCTGTGTAGAATACTGACGTGCAGAGAGGCCAGGCAAGGAACAGAGGTAAAAAAAGCTGCAATCTAACAGCAAGGAGACTTTAAGCAATGGTAGCTTTTCCTGGATGACATTTCTTGTTTGCCAAATGTCACTGGGACTCTGGCAAGATAAGAGATGTCCAACATTCTTAATTCCAGGATCTATATGAAATGCAGGATTAGCTCTGTGCCACCACAGAAGCTGCAGCGTTGTAGTAGTGCTGCTTGCTGCATTATCTGGCTCTTACTGTCTCATGTGACTTATCCTGCTTATGGTCTAGTGTAAGAACATCTAGAGTTACTCCTCTGTTACTATGGGGAATGTTCAGGTATGCACAGGAAGAATTTTACCCAATTGGCCCATAAATTGTAGTTGGGTGCTGTCATGAGGTACTTGTAGGATATGTGAAGAAAGAACAGTAGCTTAAAGGCTTTTTCCCCCCTTTTATATCTTTATTTATTCATTTATTTTTAGAGCTTCAAAAAACTGACTACATGGTGTTTGCTGGGAGACAGTACTATTTAGGAGACAAGTGTCAGGTTAGTACTCAAAGGAGACCCAGTTATGATAAACTGTTAGAGCTACTTTAAATGGACTGTGATAAATCATGAAATCATTTGATTTCATTGGATTTTCTGACACTTATCTCATTCTTTTCTCTGTAGATGTTCTATTAAATGTAATTTCTTTCTAAAATCCACCTTTAAACTTAGTAGTGTGATAGAAAGGCAGTTTAGGGATTCAATATAAACCAGTCATCCACATTCTCTGAGTGTGGAAGTTCAGGCAGAGCTCAAAATGTACAGAGGGTGCTTTTGATGTAGTTGTCTTTAGATTTTCTTACTTGGGCTAAGCAACAATTCTGGATAGTCTTACCTTTCTCAGCAATGAAGTAGCAAAATATTTTTATAAAATAAAAAGGGAGGAGTAGAATGATCTGGACAGGAACTGCTGAAAGGAAGGTCAGTTTTCTTTGTATTCTGATGTCATATGTAAGGAGGGCGTATTTTTTATCACTTTTTAAGGTAGTGCTAATGGTTCACTCAGTGACTTGTTTCTCACTGAGCAGAGCTTTCCTTTCCTACTTTGTCTTCTGTTTTCCTCAAGTTCTTAGGCAGCAGTCTTCCTTGGTACTTATCTGCTGGGCACAGGGGATAAAAATAAGTTAGGGAGCAGGTATCTTGCCACTCAGTTGCTCACAAGACTGTTATTTCTTTTTGTCCTCCCTGAAGTTAGTACAGTGCTCTTTATTTTGGTTCCAATTTTGAAGCAGTATTTGAGACTCCTGGGCCAACTCAGTAACGTGAGACTGGCTGGGAGAATCCTTTGCTATTAGTGGTTTGTGGACAATATTCTGATGTAGTCTGGGTTTTTTTAGAGTTCCCTTGTTCTCTCTCCAGGTGTGTCTGGAACCAGGAGAGAAGTATTACAATGCTCACATCCAGGAAGTTGGACAGGATAGCAACACACTGACTGTATTTGTTGAAGAGCTGGCAGAAAAGTAAGCAGTCTGGTGATGACTTCAAGTTTAAACTTTCTGGTTGAGAAGTTTGTTTTTCCTCTTGGATTTCTGATGACCAAAATCCTTATTGTAATGCTTTCTGTGAAATCCTGCTGCTCTTCCTTCACTGGAATGTAAAAGTGATCTTTGCAGTTTGGATTTAATTCACAGAGAGCAAATTGCTCTCTGCTGTTTGGTTTCTCTGGAGTTTTTATGTTGTACCCAAGCAACGAAATAATTGGCACTTCTGGTGAATCTAATCACTTTCTCCCCCTTGCTGTTCAATCATTCACCCTCCTCCAAAGCTGAGATTGACAACATCCTGCAAAAGTTGTTTTCCCGTGATTTTGGTTGTACCTCTGGAGCCACAAAAATACAGGCAGCAGAGAGAGACTTGACCCAGGAGGTGAATAATGTTTAAACTAAAGCCTAGCTAATCTTTCCTAATTAAACAACTACCAGTAATGTGTGCTTGGTCCAGAGAAACAGATCATTTATTTTCACAAACTATGTTCCTCTGTCTTGGTGTTGCTTCAGTTTATATTGCTCTGCAGGTGTATCCTTGGGGTACTGCTAACATAGGTGTCCTTCCTGCAGGCACACAGTTCCTCTGGCAAACTTAAAGCCGGTGACACAAGTGGCTCCTGTCCTTGCTTGGAATATGGCTCACAACAGAAGAGGAGGCACTTATCAGAAAGTGACAGGTGGACACTTCTCAGGAATAGGTTTGTCCAGGGCTTCCAGAAGCATTCCTTCCCTGGGGAACAGGGGAGGTGCTCATGACAGTCATCACTGTTGTAGTCTTTGGATATTGGAAGGGACTTAATTCACCCTGTGATGTAAAACTTTGCCACTGCAGGGGTTTGATGGAAAGTTATCTTTCAGACAGTGGTGAATTTACCTTTGCAGAAGAGCAAATCCATTAAAATACAGAGCAAATTTGGTATTGCTCAAAATTGCCCAGAACAAATTTGCCAACTTGAACCATCTAACAGACATGTCAGTGAAACAGAGCTTGTCTGATCTGGCATTAACAGAAATGCATGGGTGGACCAGGGCTTCCCCAGCCACTTAAATATGGATTCAGTTTAATTTGGAGGAGGAGTTGTGAGATTTTTTTTTTTTTTTTTACTTTTATAAATAAATGCAGCCTGTATAGGGAGATTTTAACACTGAGTACTGGCTGGAGCAGCTAAAACTGGAAAGGTGCTCCTATGTCAGATGCTTGTATCCTCATCATGTCGAATTCCTATTTGATCCTATTAAAGGTCTGTAGTTTCCATATTTACCGTGTACTTTTTCTGGACTAGGCCACTGGCTTTCTTTTCTATGGCATCAAATATTGATTCTTCTCTTTATTGTTTGAGACCATAGCTCAGGCTTAAGGTGTAAATCTCTTTTCTGTCCTTGATGGAAACTGCAGAAATGGACATGAAAACACGGAAGAGGATGCTCAAGAAAGTCCGTGGGAAGGAAGTGTTCATGGCTGTGGCTTACAGCAGGGGCCAGCCAATGCTGCCACCCCGGCTGCAGCACAGTGCTCCCTCAGGGCGCTTCCCTCCCATCCACTGCTCCCAGGGAGGGCCAGGCATGGCACCCTACAGACCCTATCACCAGCAGAATCCTCCCAGACACCACCGGGACTCTGGGATGCCGAGGTAGGAAGCTTTGAAAACCCGAGTTGGCCACTTGTCTTCTGTTCAGCCTTGCTGCAGACTGGTTAGGAGAGAGTTTGTGCTGTTCAGGTAAAACTATGGCTGAGGGGCATTTCCTGGTAATTGCAGCTTTTCCCCTTTAAACTCGGGGATCTGCCTGGCTTATAGACAGGCACAACATGCTTGGCCCTCAGATAACATTCTATCCTAGCCCAGGGAAGAGAGGCTGTCAGAGCTGTGACAACTTCTCCTGCAGGTCCTGGTGAGTGACAACAAACCTCTTCCACCAAAAAATATTCTACCAGGCATCGGGTGGGATGGTGGGGCATCAATTGCCTGTTTGCAGCAGAGTGTGAAAGAGCAGGTTCCTTGTGGCTCTGCAGAAAGAAGCGAATTGAAATGAAGCAGGTGAAATGCAGGTGTTGATTTTCCCCTCCTCTCTTGTCCCCCCAGCTCGTACAGCCGCAGCCGCCGCCCCCTGCAGTGTGGCAGCAAGGAGTGCCACTATGGCTTTGTGACAGGGGCTGCAGAGGAGCCCCAGGGGCCAGAAGGAACTGTAACTTTCTGTGAGATTGAAGGAGATGATGACTCTGCTTTCCCTGCTCTGCCTGTGAGTTATGAACAAAGGGTAAGCTGAAGCCTCCCAGAGAGAGAGAGGAGGAGGGGGAAGCTAAATGCACAGTGATTCTTGACCTAAGTATACAGCAGCTTTTTTTTGTTTCGTTTTCTTGCAGTGAGGTTTAGCAGTGACTGCATTTTTGACAATGGAAGACTGAAATTCTAGTTCCTGTAAAAGCTGCTTGAAACCTCAGTTTTTCTAGATATTCCCTATCATCAGTAGCAACACTTGTTTTCTTTGAAGCATAATTTCATAAACATAATCATGTTTCTCCTTTCTGTTGCAGTTTGAAAACAAAATCTTTTCCTCCTGTGCATGTCTGTCTAGCTCTAAATATTGTGGGAGAAAGCTTTTCACTTGTTTACCACACTATAATTTATCATTTGGGTAGTAAGATTCAGAAACTCGATAGTGATAGCCTGGATTTTTTTCCTTTGAATTTGTAGTTGTGATGTTTTGGATTAACATGTTGTTCTTGACACAGTTTCTTCTGCTACAGAAACAGGAAAAAAATTACAAACCTAGACTTCTTAAAGCAGTCTTTTTGTTGAGTAGTAGATAAAGTGGCAAAGTGTATTCTTAAAGTTTAAAATGTGGGTTCGTTTTTTTTCTTTATTTGTAATCTAAACCTAGTCCAAAGCTAGATGTGCTAAAAAAAAAATCAGTTTATATATAGGTGTCTGAATAGAAAACAGATAAAAAAAACCCCACAAAATCAACCTGGTATTGTTTGAATTCTTTTGCTGTGTTGAAGCAGTGAACTTAACTAATGTTAGACTTGTATTTAAATGAGGGAGAGAGAATATGCTTAGGGCATTTTTTCTTTGCTCTGATGTACTAGATCTGTAATCTTTGCTCTGGTTTTTCCTCCCAAGAGTGCCAAGGAATAAGGACACATTATCCTGCAATTCCTTTTTTCCAACGTGAAATCAATACAGCTCAGTGGCTTTTTCTCCCCATTTGCTAGACTTGCCTGCAGCTCCTAATGAATAGGTTTTCATGTTCATTCAGTGACTTTCTGTGCCAAAGCTTTGTTTCTTCCTTGTCTTGTTTAGTAAAGGAATGTGACATTTCCTGGGGAAAGATGCATCTCACAGAGGACTCTGCCATGCTGCTAGAGGCCTGGTGGGAGAATCTTCTGACTTGCACCTCTGCTTCAACCTTGGGAATCTTTCAAGCCTCTCTGAGCACTTTATTGATCTTGTAGTCACCAGTGTCTTCTGAGGAGAGTTTTGAGTGTCACCTTAGCCATCACAAAAGAGTGAATCAACTTCTTTTACTGGAGCATCTCAAGCCTATATTCCTCCTTCAGAGAACTGATCCTGTCAATTGGGGTGCAGCTAAAGACTGATTTCAGTGCAGCAACAAAGGGCATGTAAAACGTTGAAGGAATGCTGTGGGCAACCTTGGGGTGTGCTGCTCTCTGAAATAGTCATGATTGCATGTGTGGGTCAGCCTAGTGTAGACAGCACTGTCTATGCCAGCAGCCACCTTTTGGTTCCACTAGTTGTGATTAAAGAAGATCTTTCTCCATGATGTTCAGTGTTTGGATGAAGTGATCTGCTACTGATGTGGGGGGAATGCTCTAGAATGAGGAATGCACTAATACATGCTGGGGGTAGCAGCCTTGTCTGGGATCTGCTCCCTCCTTGGCAGCTTTGGTAGAGCTTGGGATAAAGCTGGCTGGGTTCTGGGAGGGAGCAGCTTGACTGCATGCCACAGGACAATGGTAAACTTCTAAATTGCCTTAAGCGTGCAAGGCAGAGCTGAAGGAAAATGAAGAAGTGTTTGTTGCATTGGAATGGACACACAGATGATGCTTCTAGTAAGCTTTGATTGCAGCAAGCTGGGTCTGCCAGCCAGCCTGTTTCTGTTTGTCTACAGAGCATGGGAAAGTTCTAAATGATTTCTAACTTTGCTTTTCAGAGCCACAGTAACCCTGCTCCCATTGTCCATGGTCCAGGAACATTTTGGGTAGCAAGGAGAAGTCCAAACTCTGTTCCATCTAACAAGCAGACCCTGAGTGCCTTAGAGGAGGAGGAAGAAGCAAGTGAAAATGGTGAGTTCTTAAGCATTGATTGAGGGGAAAAAAAAAAGAGCTTGTCAATGTGCTTTTCATTGTCAAAAGTAGGTTCCTTACATCTCCTACAGGAGACAAAGTGAGATAATATTGAGAGCAGTTTATTAATGGATGCACTGAAATGTAATTGCAGCAACTCCAGCTTTAGGCTTTTTTGTTCCCCCTCTTTTTTTTTTTTTTCCCTCTGAATCTCAAAGCTTCCTATTCTCTCTCCCTTGTAGGGAAGTTTCATGAGGAATATATCTATGCACCTCCAGGTAAGTAAAAGTTTAGTCTTTACTGATAGAACATTTGGTGAATGTAATACACTCCATTATGAGCTTTTTATAAGTTTCTGAAGGATTAGGTTTAATGCTGCTCTTTTCAATTAATTTTGCCTATGTCATCCAGATCCCAACTGTGAAACTGCAACAGTGTTTAGTTCAGCAGAACCTACAGCAAACTTGGTAAGTTTTATTCACAGACTGTTCAGATTTGAGATCTTTGAGGTATGTGAAATTCATGGAAACTGTCCTTGGATGCATAATAGGCCAGAGACTTAATAAAAGAAGTGAAATCAGCATTCCTGAATATATTCACCATTCTTTTCCTCCCTGAATAATGAGGTTTTTATCTGAGTCGGCAAGTGCAGTCTGAATTGCACTGGATACATTGATTTTTCCACCTTTTCCTCTGCAAAGAGAGAGTGTGTATTTGAGTGCTGTTTACTTTTCTTTCTCTGCTCCAGACAGCACTTGCTTTTATCAGGCCACCCTTTAGGTTATGTTCCAGTTAATCTTAAGTCCTCCTCTGTGGGACTGGAGAGATCTCATCTGTGATAGAACTTCTTGGATTTTTTTTTTTTTTTTTGAGACTAAATCTTTAGTCACCTGCTGCTCCACAGTGGGTATGAAGGCAGGCCTGAGCATGCCAGAATAAAACCGTGTTTAATTGAGCAACAAAAGACACTCTGGGTGTATAGTCCATAAACTTAAAAATAAAAAAAATAGAGGTGTGGTGTGTGTGCCTTGTGGCTTTTTTGCCACTGAAATGGACCATGCTTTGCTTTGGAATCCCTTCAGGAAGAAGGGCCAGTCTCGATGTCACCTCAAGATGAAGTGGCTTCCTACAGCTATCCCCAGAAGGTAGTGTCTGGTACTCTGAGCTGTATCTCACAACTCATTGTGGTGGCCCTGCAGAGAGGTAACCACTCTGCTTGGACTGTGAACAGTTTGTGGGGACCCCTCACAGCCTCTGGCAGCAGAGAATACAATTCCCTGCAGATACAAGCAAAACAGAAGATGCTTTGCAGGTGTCTGCAGCTCTAAACTGCTATTTTCAAGCCAATTTTTAGAGAGTTTGGATAGTTAGTGCCTTTACAGCTAGGATTTACAAGATCCATTTGTGTGAAGTGGGAATTTTTGAAGCGTGTGATGTTTTCATAGTCTTTGTCAAAGCCAGTTGCAGAGGCAGACTGTTGAATATTCTTGACTCTTTTCCAGGTGTTGGTGAACTCTGCAACAGTTTCCACCTCCACAGATGTTTATACTGCTCCAGCTACAGGTCTCTCTTCAGATTCTGCTGCCTCCACTCCAGCCAGTGTCATAACAGCAGCTCCCCCACAAACAGCAGTTCAGCCTGTCATAGTATCTCCCTTTTCTGTGGGGAGGCCAGGTAGAGTGTACAGACTGCAGCTGTGAACTTGGATTTCCAAGTTTTCAGTTACATTTTCTCCTCCCTTCCTCCCCCATCCAAAACAAGTGTTAAAAGGCTTTAAAAAAAAAAGTCACTTGCTTTGGTAAACCAATTATGTAGTTGTAAATTGACTGCTGATTTCTCATTTTGAAAGGGCTGTTGCACCTGAATTTTTATGGGACCTGGAAATCTGTTTAGGGTTCCCCCCTTGCCACCTTTAAGTATTAAAGCCAAGTGCTTGCTAGAAAAGCCTTTTCAGAAGGCAGAAGTTGAGTGCAGCTCCCTTCACCTCTCCTTTCCTACAGCTGATTTTCCTCACGAGTTGAGGTAGCAAGCCTCTAGAACACAGTCACTTCCAGGAGAGTCACTGGCTGGGGTGTTTCAGGGTCCAGTTCATTTTTGTGACCCTTAGTTTTTTCTGTGCAAGGAGATCAGGTTTGTGGGGAGTCACAGGAGCCACTCTCCACCTTAGGTGCTGTATCTGCTTTGCTCTTGGAAAAAGGCAGTTATGAAAAGATTCTCTTTTCCTTCTTGCAAAGAACACTTCTCCTGTCTTCTATAACTTTTCAGCATCTAAAAAATCTCTTCCTTTAATTCTGTTCAGTTCTGTCTCACTTTTCTTCTCTTTTTTTTCTGCTCTGTGTAAGAGTTTAGTCAGCAGGGTTCTCAAAGCTGTCTGCTCACTGCTGCCAACCTGCTGCTGTGTTAGAGGTGTGGGCCACCTAAATGAATATTTAACAGTTGTCTGTCCAGAAGAATTTTGTCCTAATATGTTTCAAACCGTCCCTAGTATTTGTGGGCTTACTGTGACACTTTTGTGGGCTTGAAGTGATTAGTCTGTTCTCTGTTGTTCTCTTACATATCTCTCCTAGAAGTCTGGCCTGCTTTCTAATATGAAGAAATTATTTCAAAAGACTTTTCTTTAAATGGGATATACAGCTTGCAGATAGAAGTGCAGTTAAGGCTTGAAAGATTGAAACTTTCCCATCTAGTTTTAAAATTTCTCGTGGATAACTTTCAAAGTGATGGCTGAACAGAAATTTGTTAGAGTCTGTATTTAGGGGCACTGAGGTGTCAAAGTACGTACTGAATTGTGTAACTTAACACCTTACTCACTTGACATACAACGGCAAAGTTGACTTTTCGGGTGACATTTGTTTCCTTCCAATTGCAGCAGTTTCTTCTGTGCCATTCCCAATTTATTCAGCTCCTCTTCCCCCAGTGAGTGAGGTGGGAGAAGCCAGTGCTGTTCTTCCAGCTTACTCTTGTGATCCCAGTGGCAGTGATTTGCCTCGAGGTAATGATGGTATTTTGTATTTTTGCTCTTGCTGCTCTCCAGCACACTTCTGACTTGTGTTCTTCTTGGAAGCCTAACACCAAGTGAGAATACATAGTGATAAGAAATGGCTCCCTACAACTCACAGGGAGTGAGAAATAATATTATAGATACAAACTTTCTGTTCAAAACTGGGAATGAAAATGTTTTAGCATAAGTATCTAACTCAACTATGTGATCATTGCAGCTCTAGATAGCACCTTAAATACAGCACCTTAAATAAATGCAAGCCCAGGGTGAGAATGCTTGGCCTATATCATAGTTGTTTGTGGCAGAGTAATCACTTTTCTGATAACTGATTAAAATAAGAATTGTGTATTTATAAGTTGTGCTGTTGCACAGTTCAGTGGGGTATTTTGGTTGTTTTCCTTTATGGCTTCAAGCTGTAATTCCATGGTATTACAAACCAGGGCTGAAGTGTGGGGTCAGCTTGTTCCTTGGGTGTGTAGCTTTGTCACACACACACAGTGCCACCAGCTTGGACAGTGTCTGAGGTCCATGTCATCTGCTCAGCAGTGAAAGTACAGAGACAAGCCTGCTGCTTTCACACTGCTCTGCAGTTACTCTGCCGGCTTGCCTGTGCCCTCAAATCCAAGATTTGTTCATCTTGGCTGTTCTGGTTCCCCTTCCCTGCTGTGGTGCCATCACTCTGATCCCATGCACACACCAGAGCTCCTGTTTCCAGCTGTAGTTGAATGCCCTTAACTGAGGCTTTCCCCACTTGGGGGAATGGGGTGCTAAGTGTGCTGACAAGAATCTGGAGTGGATGTGAATTAATAACCTCTCCAGACCTTGCCTGGAGCTCTTCAGATGATTCCACATCAATTGGCCTTGTCCTCCTTGGCACAGACTGTAGGAATTGTAAAGATTGCTAGTTGATAACATTGCATGTAGCATTTGTTACACTGCTGGAGTATAATCTGTGTGGCCTTTAAGTTAAGAAACCCAGCAGGTTTGGAGTAGGGCAGGGTGAAGTGGGTGTGCTTGATCTGGAGTTCTGTGTGTTTTGCTAAAGACATTAGGCCTGGTATAGATGGGGAGCAGGACTTGTCAACAGACTGAAGCCCTGGACCTGGGAAAAAAATCTGCTGTGAGCTCTAGCATTACTTATATCTGCATTTATTCCAGTTTTCATAGCATCTTGTATCTTATTTTAATTGCATTTAGGACTTGCCAAGTGTTTATTAATACAGTGACCCTATGTGTCCTGCCCTTGCCTGGTGCCTTGTATTTGAAGGAGCTGTTGATGAAAGTCTGCTTGAAATTACTGTGTTCCAGAAACACTGTTCAGTACTGGCCAGAGCTTCCCAACAGCACAGTAAAAACTCCATCAGAAGATGAGATTATCATAAAAATGTTCATGATTTTCATCATAAAGACCATGTCAACATGGTCTTTATATTTTCATGTCAGGATGGGTAACTGGTTTTGGCCTAGCTATTGGTTGTCACGTTTTACTGAAGATGGACTTGATTTCCAGCCATCTAAAAGAGAAATATAAACAAAAACTGGTCTCCTACTGTACTGGCTTTTGTTCCATCACTTCACAGATGTCAGTATTGCCAGTGTCAGTTTGTCACTTCAGTCTCCCAGCAGTTCCTTTGTACTCTTATTGCTGCTATGGAAGCAGCTGTTTCATTCAGCTCTTATGCCTGCTTTGCATAGATTTGCATAAACAATTGAAGAGCAAAATTGGGTTTTTAAAAAAAAACACCAACTTTTTCCACATGTAGATGGAATTTCAGCTATATACTGAAAAGCTTGTATTTGTGTAAGCCTTTGGAGTATTTTTACTATTTTACTGATTGTGGTCAGTGTTACAGCCAGACCACCAACACTTCCAGGACTAAGGATCTGTGTGCATTTCCTAAAACAGCTGCATGGATTGTTGCCCTGATAGATGGGCTGAACAGCAGAAGAATTGAGAATTGGCAGCTGTGACAGAGGAACAAATCCTTCTGCATTTTAATATTGTGATTTGCTTTACTGATGCTTTGGCCTTCCTGCAGCAAAACACAACAGAGTGCCACAGAGAGCAGGGCTGGGGAAGTGTGGGAGATGGGTGGACAGGGAAGTGCTGTGGAGCCTGGTCTAGGGCAGGGTGGGGGTTTGTGAAGGTGGAATGTGATAACTCTGGAGGTGTTGCTGAGTTTAATCCCTTAGTGGCTCCTTTTGAGTTGTTCCCCTGCTTTCCCTTGGCTTTAGTACAGCTGGGAGCTCCAAGTCTGTGCTGTGGAAAGGTCACTTGCTCTTCCTGAGCCTTCAAAGCAAATCAGTATTGAAATCTAAGAAACCAATTTTTCTCATGCACAGTTCCAGAACTGCATCATGGGACTAAACACACACCCTATTTTATTTTTTTTTTTGGACCTTTCCGTGGGTCAGCTTTAAAGGTTTCAAGCTGCTTCACATTTTTTGGACAGTTAGAAATGGGTTTCCAAGTTCAAAACCCTGTTGCTTTTGGAGAGAGGTTTCAAAGTTCTTTCACACACCTGGGATTGTTTCTCAGAATATCATTTACTTGGCTGGGGACAAATGATTCAGTAGAGGGAAGACAGAAGTAAAAGACTCTGCAAGAAAGCTGGGAACTGAGTACCCTTGTGAGGAAGGAATATATTCTTTATTCCTACCTTTGAGCTTAATGTAACAGTTGAGGGGCCCCAAAATTTGGTGAGAAGGTCTTAGGATTGTTCTGTGTTAAGTCCTAGTTGCTTAGACAGTGGAGACTGGTAAAAAACCTGAGTTACCACTTGAGTAGTTAAAAAATTAAAGCTAATTTAGTAATTGAATTAAATAATTAATAGGTCAGAAAATGCTCTGCCATTGTACAAACATGTAACTGAATTTAGCTAAAAAGATAAAACTAGTTTAACAACTGTTTATATTCAAGATGCATTCTTTACCCTTGAAATTTTAAAGAAAAGGTAGTGCTGAAATACTGCTATTCATTAAGTAAGAATAACTTCAAATAAAATGTTCTTAATGTAAGTTGCTTTTTCTTCTTGGTTTATATTCCTCTGCTCCCTAATGTCGTGTCCTTTAATTTCAGATACAAAGGTCTTGCGGTATTATTTTAATATGGGATTGCAAGTAAGTGCTTTTAAAATGAGTATGGCAAATTGCCTGTAAAAAACTGCTGGGTTTCCTGACAAATATACTGATATATTCAAAGCTTTCAAATGTCCTAAATATGCATTCTGTGCACTGGACCATTAATATGGATGGACTTCCTTGGTGGAGATTAAAGCCTGGCTCAGAAAGTGAAGTTCTCCCTCAAAATGTGTAGTACACCATATTAATTGTTTTACTGTGGGTTGTGATGGTGGTGTTGTGGTTTTATTTTGGGTTTTTTGCTAAATTTTGGGGGGGGGGGGGGGTTTGATGGTGGACAAATATTCTTTCTATGAAGAAACTGGAAGAACCCAAGCCATTCTTAAGAGAGTTTGTATACTTAGATAAGACATCAAAGACCACTTAGAGATGTGTGGATGGAGTCTCCTAGGACTTGTGTAGCTCAGCTCAGACTGCTTAGCACCATTTCTGTGTTGGGGAAATTTGCTCTGCTGAAGCATTCTCTGTAACAGTAGTTATGTGCAGTGTCAGGGAAGTAAAAAGAGCAACATGAGCTCCTTCAGCTGAAGAAATGGGAAAAGATCTCTGAATATGACAAAATTAATAAGTGGGAATCCTCTTCCTCTGTGAAGGCTTTTGACACAACAGCAGTGTGGATCTTGCTGCAAGTATTCCAGTATCTTTCCTGGTAGGCTGTGTTGGGTTGATGGGGTTTTTTTGTTTGTTTTTATGTCTTAAAGGGCTAGGGAGGAAAAAAACTTTACTTTTTCCTAACTTTTGATCTGAAAGTAGCTGTGATTTGGAGGAGGGCTGGAGAGTATGTGGCTGTATGCATGACCATGTTTTCCCTTTTCCTGCAAGTATTGCCATCAGAGCTGTTGGCCTTCCATGATGTACATGCAGCCAGTGCTGCCTCCATCTCCAGTGGAAGTTTACCCAGCCTATGCTGAGCCAGCTCCTGTCCTGGATCAGTCAGTGCCTCAGCTCTTCCCTGATGCTGGGCAAGCTGAAGTCCACCAGGTTCCCTTGGAGGCATCAGCAAATGGTTTGTATTTGAGAAATGCTGTGTTCATGCTCATGAAAGCCTGCACAGAAAGGCCATCGTTGTGGCTGAAGTGTGTGAATGTGCTTCTTGTTCTGTTTTTTTAAGGTAACTTCCAAAACACAGAGCCTCCACCCCTGTCCTATGGGCCAGTGTATTACCCTGTGGTGTCAGACCCCTTCAGCCAGCAGCCTCTGCCTGGCTTTGACTCTGTGGTTCCTGCCTACCACTACATTGGCACCTGGCATCCAGTAAATCCTCCCCATGGAAATTCCCCACCAGTGGCCAAGGCTGGGAGCTCAGGAGCACCACCCCAGGTCGGCTACATGGCCTCCCCCAACCCTGCACCTCCTGAGGCACCTCAGGGAATGTAAAGCTGGGAGCTGGAAGCTCCTGCTTGGGTTCTTGGTTCTTGTTTGCCAGCTCTTGTTAATACTGTTCTGTAAATGTCACCCTCTCTTAGAGGGTTGAGTCAGTTGGTCGAACTGTGTTCAAATGTCATGTTTCTCTTTAGGTTTATGCTACTGATAGATGACAAGGTGTTGTTTTAGTTGCTTAGGAAAGCATAGGAGAAAAGTAGCGCAGGGAACAGCTTGGATGTGAGTAGAGGAAGTTAGTGAGAAAACATGCTGTGACTAAAGGCATGTTGTGTGTGTCTGAGGGCTTGCACTGAACACTTCACACCTGGTTCTTGCTGAGGCACTGAATCAGGCTGCCATCACAACTCAGGTAAACACTGGGCACAGGGTCGTTAGAGGGGATAATAATGTTTAAAATAAGTTGACTTTCTCGGATTTTGCAAAAAATAAGCTGCTTTTTTCTAGTGGTTACATATTTTTCATAGGTGTGTTTTTTCTGTCTGACTTCATAGTGTATAGGTTTCATGGCTGTGAAAAGTGTAAGAATGTTTTCATCTGTTGTATATTGTTGTATATTTGTAAGAATTGTTTTGTGAAAGTTGCACATCCGGTGGTGGCCGTGGTGGTTAATTTGCACTGACAGCACAAAATAAAAGCATTAAACACATGAAAATGAGTGGTCATTTATCACTGGCAGGTAATGTTCCTGACAATTAGCTATCCCACAGCCTGGACTGAAGAAATGCACTTGTGTGGGACAAGGCTGCTCCAGCCTTCTGTGAGAAAGCAACAAAAGCTTCCAGCATGGAAATGGAAGTAGAATAATTCCTGGTAATTGCATCTTTTCCTCTCTAAACTCAGGCACAACATGCTTGGCCCTCAAAAACCATTCTACACAAAATTGAAATCAGCTCTGTTGGCCCATCCTACTGTTTGGTGATATTTTGAAAATAATTTTTCCTTTGACTATAACTTAGGTGGTGGTGAAAAGGGGATTAAATGCAGAACTAGGAGGCAAAAAACTGTATTTCCTTTGGTATCCCTTTTAAGTAACCCTGGAAACAAAACCATAGTAAGAAAAAGTGACTTGTTACTTTTTTGTCTTAAATTCATGCAGCACTCTTGGTGTTGATAATGTAACTCTGTAGGGAGAGGGCTGCAAGCTCAGCTTTTAGTTTGTCTTCTGCAATTTCTAATTGCTGTACATTTAATTTGGCAATTTAATAATGGCTTTTCAAGATGGAGCAGCCAGGTAAAAAGCCAAAGCAAGATGAAAATGACCCCTGAATAGCTAATTTGATTTTTAGCTGCTGTGTTGGTTTTAAAACAAAACATTTGCACAAAATTTTTATGAAATAATGGGTGGCCTTTGTGTTTCTGCCTCTGGAGGAGCACTTGACTGGCACAGATTTTTTTTTTTTTTTTTTACAAAATACTATGAAGGGTTTTTTTCTTTTTCTCTGAAATAGCATTCACTGGCTTAACCCCTTAAAGGAACTAGTAAAGCCTGTGATTTATTTTAAGGACCTTAAAGTGGCACTTACCTAAGTGGAGTCTCTGTGCTGGAGTCATGGAGTGTTTCCACCTGTCCCAGGTGCCATCTGTCATATCCCAAGCAGTTTCTGTCAAGCACTGAAGGGAATGGAATGGAAATATCTTTCCCTTTCAGGCTTTAGCTGTGAATTCTGCCTTTCTCCCTCTGTCACTGAGACAGCTTTGCTTTTTTTCTGCACACATGGTTATCACAGCACAGTGTTGGTGTTTTGTCTTCTGGTATTAGTCTGTCCCTGAAGTTAACTTTTTTTAAAAAAAATTGGAAAAAGTGATAATTCTGCTAGAGTCCTGTTTTTTGGTTTTTTGGGTTTTTTTTTTTTGTTTTGCTTACCCATCTAGGATTATTAATACTGGATTATTCACCACTAGCCATGGCTATTTTGGCCTTCCTGGCCTCTTTGATATACATGACAATTTAATTGATATAGTGATGTGTCATACATGGCCAGTGAACTTATTTATGGATTTGATATACAGAGGTACGTCTGTGACTTGTTTTATGTATTTTTTGCTAGGGCTTTTAAGCCTCAAAATCAGCTTTTTGAGCTATGAAGCAGTGGCTGTGGGGATCAGGTAGCAGTGTGTCCTGGAGCTGATGAATGCTCTCCATGGATAGGAAATGCCACCTCTTTATTAACAGCTAAAGAGCTCAGAATGGTACAGAAATTTAAGTGATTGCTGGAGTCTTTTATTTCCATTGCTTCCCAGAGTTGTGTTGCAGTACAACAGCTCTGCAGCACTTTTGTGAAACAGCTGCCAAAAAAGCCACAGCTCTGCCTGAACCACAGCTGACCTGCTTTGTGCTTCAGCCCTGCCTGCAGCCTCTCTACTAACAATATTCCTGGCCTTGTGGCTAATCAGCCTTTTCAGGGGCTGTAGGATAATTCACATCAAAATTACACTGAGTTCGAGGGCTTGAGATGAGAGATTTGAGATTTTTTTGATTGGGGTTTATGCATGCTCAAAGATGAGGGCTCGGGGTCTTTTTTTGGTGGGGAACCCAGTGTCAGCCTGGTGCTTTTCCAGACCTCTTTGGCACATGTTTTAGTGTCATTATTTTAGTTTGATTGTTGTTGTTACAGTTTGGTACCAGACCAGTGCTCTGGGTTTTTCATGCCCAGCAGAATTGCTGTGAATGGTGATATTGGGATATAGTTTAAAGATAAAATATGGTTATGGCTTCAGTTAGAAGAACGAAAAAAATCCATGAGTATCGATTTCTATTTGGAGTTATTTTTTTCTGCAGATCAATGTTTGTAAGTTATTTGTTCTTTATTGGACTTCTTGAACTGTGTTGCCTAATAGTAAATTTTTAAAGCAAAGATTTGATCCTGGAATGTGTTTTTTTTTTTTTGTTTTGTTTTTCTGTGGATGGCTTTTTAGCCTTGAAAAGGGAGAACAGAAAAGCTCAGCCATGTTTTCACTAGTCATGCTTGCCTTGCCACCTCCTTTCCTTCACTGTGTTTTTATATATGAAAGGCAGAGGCTCAAATTAAGTTTACACGTGAAGGCTGTGGAGGGTTTGTGGACTTTGAGCACCATGGAGTGCTCTCCCTCCATGTGAGCCCCAGGGCCAAGCCTCTCCTTAGTGACAGAGGACATGGCTCAGGCTGTGCCAGGGGAGGCTCAGGCTGCACATCAGGGAGAATTTCTTCATGGAAGAGCTTATTAAACATTGCAGTGAGCTGCTCGGGGAGGTGTCCAAGGAACACCTGGATGTGGGGCTGGGGGACAAAGTGGGGTCACTCACAGGTTGGACTCAGTCTTTGAGGTCTTTTCCATCCTGAGTGTGTAAAGGTGGTAACTGCACCACTTAATTAGTGGCTCGTCTTCGTTTTCTTCTGTCTTCACTCAGTGTCAGAACGGGTTTTTTTTACAGCACAGAAAGCTCAAACCTCCGAAGTTTCTGGGTTCCTACATGAATGGTTCTGTGTTTCTTCTGAACCTGCAGGATGAGCATAGCAGTGACCAACCCTAGGTTTTGTGCTTTGGGGTGTGGCATCTCCTGTGATTGAGTTTTAGTCTGAAGTGCTGCAAACCCTGCTGCCTGCAGCAGGAGCAGGCTCCAGCCTGCGTCTGTTGTGTGATGCCAGCCTCCAGAGTGGCTCTGTCACCTCAGCACCCCTCACTGCACTGCCAGCCCCAAGCCTGGTGTTTGTCACCCCCAGGGCTGCCCAGCCTCTGCCCCTGCACCCCAGCTGATGGCATCTCTCTGATGGAATTGCCCAATCCATCTGTTATTGAAGATAATTATAAATGCTGTGGAGAGAGCCTGTGCTGGTTCTGCCTGCCACTGGGCTGTCTCCTGCTGATGCTCCTGTGCCGTTTTCCCCTGGTCACATAACCAAACCAATTCCTACAGAAAGTTTGTTTTTCTAGCTCCATTGGCTTTTTTTTTTTTTTTTTTTTTTTAATTTCACTCTTAGGTTCCATTTCTCTCAGCACTGCTGCTGGGATACCTTTTTCTTTTATAAAATTACACCATCAAAGGCTGCATTACATATGGAAGATACTCAACTTATAAATCCAGACCCAGAATTCCAAGTAACTGCTTTTTTCATAAAGAAGGGGGGGGGGGGGGGGTAAAGATAAAACCGTTGAACCAGGACTTTATAGCTTTGAAATAAGATCAGAGATTAAATTTTGCAGGGCAGGCCTGTATCTAGAAGCTCCTAGTCACTGCTGCTTACCAGATTTCACAGTCAGCTGGGCTGCAGCAGGTAGGAAACAGCTCAGCCACAGGCTCAGAGCATATTCCAGGCACTGACTGCAGCCCAGTCCTCCCTCAGGTGGGGTGATCTGCAGCCCCAGAACAGGTGCCTGAGGCCTGACAGGGTCTTTTTATCTCTTAGGCTCTGTTTATGGCAAAACTTTTATTCCAGATACTAAATCCTGCCTTCTCTGGAGCAGCTGAGCATTTTGCCACAAGCTTTAGGGTGCTTGTGACCCAAGATAAGGGTCAGTCTGTGCTCATAGCTGTGATTGTTGGGTTAGGGAAAATGGACTTTTAAGAGAAAGTAGAATATCCCATAATGGTAAAATTGATGGACCATCCAACTCCCTCCAGCCTTTCCTTTATGCATTTTTTCTATTCCCTACCCTCCTTATTTTCATTTTCCAATCAATTGTAAACAACTGTGATTGATTGTGGTTTCTAACTGTTTAAACCAGTGCTTTTTTAATATGTCATAGTTGAAAGCAAAAAACGTTTATGCTTGTGGTGATGATGTGAGTGTGTGATTTAACTTTTCAGGAAGTAAGAGGAAATAAAATTTACTGCAAAGCTTCTCCACAGAATGGGTCAGGTTGGGAGGGATCTGGTGCCACCTCCCTGCTCAGGCAGGGCCATCCCTGGCACAAGATTTTGTCCAGGTGGTTCTGGAATATCTCCAGGGAGGGACACTCCACACCAGTGTCTGCTCCAGTGCTGAGTCACTCCCTGGCTTTGCAGGGACATGGAG